AGCGAACTGTTAACGGAAAGGGAACCTGTCATCTGACATGGCAAACTTGAACGCCAATAATAGTCATGCAAGAAATACTGCCCTGCCCAAATGGCATCCATCACACCTATAATGATCAGGTACACACCCATCAGTCCATCAGACCAGGCCAAATTTATCAACATGATAGCCTGTATCTTGTTTTTCTCCTTTGTTTCCTTAAACACCAACCGCCACACGATCACAAACACAGCACCAACCAATGTCATAATTCCTACAACCCAGAGACAAATCCTAGGAGCTCGATCTTTGAACATCCTTTCACAACTTGCAAAGCTGTCGACATAAGCAAAGTCGCAATCCGCGTCCTCCTTCTTCAAATGGCAACACATCAGGTTGGTGTCTACAGTCCTACGATTTATAAAAAGATTTGAAATGGATCACAGAAGTGGAGAAAAATGGGAATTTTTGATTCGTCGCATTATTTGAATTTAAGACAAGGAAAGGGTGATAGTAATACTCTACATGCTGCCTTATTGTATACAGATAAATAAAATTCTTCAGTTAAACATCTACAGACATCGGGAATATTCTACTGACTTACACTGTTATCAAATTTTTCATGTTCGAGAAGAAACCGGCCGGTAGTTCTCGCATTTGGTTGTAGTGGAAGTAACTGCAAATTAAAGGAGAGCGATTCAATTTAACACCAGTATTTTATAAAGATACTGCTGTTTTAACCCTAAGTATTTTCAAGCTTTTGGGTTCTCCTCTTTCCTTTGCTCCACCAAATCCTCACTTCCCCCCCAAAAGTTCAGCTCTTAACACTTCATGAGACTCCCTGTGATTAAAGGGAGAAGGAATGAACGGATGGGTATACCATTGTCAAAGAACAAATTTGCCTCAGTTTCGTTGATACCATACAGTTAGGAGCTTAGGTAATGGGCAAAATGGGCATTTTAGAAGACAAGAGAGCAAGTAACCAAGACGTCCTTTCTAACATAGTCACAGTTAACTTAATAAGAATAATTCGTTACTGAGTACGTAAAACACACTTAATATCTAGAAATATATATACATACGATATCACTGTAATCTAGTTGAGAGGGGACGTTAAATTGAGAGGAAGCCCTTATTTAGCTTTTCCCAAAAGTTTTTCAGTGGTCAGATGAGATTGCTTTTAGGAGTATAAAATTGGCGCGTGATTAACGGTATAAACTGCCCATCCTTATTTTTACACTCGTAGAAGTATTTATGGGTAATTCGAATAACGCAATTCTCAACTTGCATGATTCGGCCAATTGGATTACGTGCCCGTGAAGATGGGGGAGGGGGGTACGCTAATCCGAAAACTAAGCACACTGCCTCACTTGAATGTGGAATTAACTCGGTGAAGTTTAATCACACGTTCGCCTTGAATAGTAACAGTTTTTTCAAACTCACAGGAATCGAATACTTGGCGCGATATCTTTGAATTGCTCGTTGCTCACTGTGCGGATTTTGTTGAAATAAAAGCTCCTGCAAATGAAAATAGAGTGAAAGAGTAACTCGTAAATGACAGACATGAAAACATAAATTTAGATTAAAAGAAGAAAGCAGAATGAGTGACTACGAGTGAGTACGAGTAACACCGAATGACCACGAGTGACCACGAAGGAATACTAGTAACCGCGGCTGGTCGTGATTGACCACGAGTTACCATGAGTAACCACAAGTGACCAAAAGTGACCACGAGTGACTACGAGTGACCACAAGTGGGTAAGAGTGGCCACAAGTGACCCCAAGAGGGTAAGAGTGACCACGAGTGACCACGAGTGACCACGAGTAACCCCACGTGACCATGACTGACCACAAGTAACCAGGGCCCGGTTGTTCAAAAGACGGGTTAAACTAACCTCTGGGTAGACCTAACCGGAGGTTAAGTTTTCTAACCGTGAGTCCGTTAACTCGCTGTTAACTCGCATTGTTCGAAGCGCGGTTAGAAGACAAGTTAGCTAAACTCGAGTTAAGCGCGTTTAGTCCGCGGTTAGCATCCCATAATAAACTATTCGTATAATGTTGCCATCCTGCGATGGACTGGCATCCCATCCAGGGGGCCTAGAAATACTCCTGTCGCTTCATGCTACAGAAACCGGAGCCAAGCACCGGCCTAATGGGCCACTAGGCTCGTAAACAGACTTTACCTTTTTTTTACAATGTTGCCATGGTGAGCAAGTTGCGAGCTCTGCAAAATGGCTTTCTCAACTATCTCACGCAAAGCTCAAGAACAAAACTTTAGCGCTTCAGAAATTGCCGTTTTGACGGAAAAAGTCGAAGAAAACCTTTCGCTGATACAAAGCAAGTTTACCAACAGTGTCACCAATCAGAAAAAAAATGAAATGTGGAAAAAATCGCCGATGCTGTTAACGCTGTTGATGTGGCAATGCGGACAACAGCCGAAGTTCGCGAGAAGTGGCGAAACTTGCAGTCGCAGGCAAAACCTGAGGGCAATTAAAACTTTATGGAGCGGTGGTAGGGCGTTATTCGGTCGAGTGTTGAGACTGATATCACCGGCAACTAGATTGATAATAAATAAAATAGACTCTGGTCGAAAGCGGTAACGAGCACTCAGCTCTTCGTCTGTGAAATCGTCAATTTCACGCTGAGTTCCGGCTCTAAATCTCCTTTTTCGTTGTCGCCTTCTGCGTAAATCGCAAAACAACAAGTCCGCCATCTTTATTCCTGATTTAGGAGTTTAACAATTTAACCCTGCTCTCACGGTGGGTTAAATTTAAGCCATCGTTTAACCCGAGGTTAGTGTTAACCTTCCGTTGAACAACGCAACTAACCTCCGCTTTAAATTTAACCCAAGATTAGGCAGATTTAACCCTGGGTTTAGACCTAACTCTCTTTTGAACAACTGGGCCCAGGTGGTTTAGAGTGAGCACGAGTAACCCCCAGTGAGCGACCACGAATGACCACTACTCTCCATGAGTGACTCCGCGTAATCAAGAGCAGCTAGCTAGTATGCAGCAGTCAAAGGAAGGGAGGGGTGATGTCATCTTCCTGCTTCCCGCCACATGAATCTTTTAGCTGGTTTCAATCACTCGTCACCTTTCTCTGTCAACCTTTTGTATTTGCGTTTTTCCTTTTTTGTCGTTTTGTTTTATCTTTTTTTGTCCAATATCAAGGGTTCTTTTTGCTATTTAGAGCTCGTTTTCTTTCCATTAATTTCCATAACTTTCTTTCTTCTGTCTTGGCATTTTTAGGAGGAAACGGGCTCATTACATAACATTTTTGACAGTTGAGTAGCTCTGAGACCTGCAATTTGAGTCAAGGAGGTGATACATTGTTTGCATACGGCAGTCTCCGGAAATGGTTTTTCTACGGTGAAATCATAGGTCTTTAGATAAAGTCACCTGATGACAAGGAAATTATGATGTCACTCAAATTTATGACTAATTTACTTTGATGACGCGTAGTCACTCTTGGTTGTTAGTCGTCACTCGTGTCCATTCGCTGGCGATCTTGGTCACTCGTGTATACTTTTTGACACAACCTACTGAAATGACGGAGATGAAGAACATGCCGGCTAATGCGCTCTCACTAAGACCCCAGTTTTTCAGTGCTTCACTAACGTAGATTAAAAATGATAAAGAGAAACAGAGACTTACATGGACTGCATGTTTGTCAATCCTTTAAAAACTCCAGGCGGCAGGTGCTGAATACTGTTTTCATAAACAGCCCTTGAACGACAAAGAAGACAGATCATGATCAGTTAAAGTACAGAAAAGTCTAGAAGAAAACTTCCATTGTAGAAAAAATTTTAATGGCTTCTTCGACTTTTCCATGTCTTATTACAAAATATCTTTATAAACTATGTGACACTGAAAAGTACATTGAAAATGGATAAAAACTTCACTGCTAGGGACTAGTTAAAAAATTAGTTGAGGGCAGTTAGCGGTTGCCTTGCTTAATCCGAGTATGCGTACGCGCTGCTTTATGTACGTGAAAGAATTGCTACATCCTTTTCGTAATTGCCTTCTTTTTCTGTCATGTGAAATCTTGTCAGTGAGATCCGAGTTGGCAGTTGTTATCCTGGGTGCTATAGCAACTTCAAACTCGAGCAACGTTAGACTTGACTCAGGTAACCTCCAATGTGTCTGAATCTAAGCCTGCCAAAGCACATTAGTTTGAGTAATTCAACGAAACCTTGAACAAAAGTGGGTGAGGGAATAGGTCTGTTCACCCTTTGTGTTACGCCACAGATACTCATAACTTAGAGAATTACTTATTCCTCAAGTAACAGGGTAGTTTTTTATGATTGTTTTTTTTTTCTTTCGCAGTCGCATGTCCTCTGACAGAAAATGGAAAAGAACCAAATAATAAGACAGCAGCTGATGAACTTTAATTACAGATGATAAGATATCTCCAGTAAGATTACGAATTATTACAAGTGCGGTTAGGTATAATTTCTGTCCGCCACCTCGTTTGGATAAAATTACTGGGTTTACTTACAGGTCTTTCAATTTGGACAAGCCTTGGAACTGATCCGGTGACAGGGTTACGAGGCTGTTGTTTTCCAGGTATCTACGCGATAAATTAAATATACGACACGCTCTGTATCACTATTATATATCACCAATGAAATAGGA